AATAATAATAATAATAATAATAATAAATGCTATAAGAGTAAACAGTTGCCAATTCGAACATTTGTAAAAAGCTTAAATTTGATCACGACTAGAACACATTAAATTTGATGGAGATCTAGTCCAATATATCTAATCCACGGTATAAAAATATGAAATCTAACTTTTATCTATCATATTTGTTGGTGCCAATACGAAAATCTACATCGATCACTTGAGGATTCACATTAACTTGGTCAAATGAGCATTTTTTTAGTGAAGGCAAACACGTCAACTCGAATAGTGGACTCAAAATTCCACCCATACATGTCATCTATGGAAGACGTCATCTGAAAATATCATCACGATATGGCTGAAAAGATGTTCCCCTACGTGACACCACCACCCACAACAATCAAATATAAGGAAAGTCATGATAGACAGGGCAAAGAATCTAGATACCATGATAACTCGTTGCAATCGAACTATCCAGCCAATTAAATCTCTCCAAAATGAGCAATGGAACATAGAATTAGGTCAAACGCTATAACTCGACATAATTAAGACAACAAGCTAGAGTTCAATGTCCTATATAAAGGGTTGAACGTTCAAACAAGAAAGACGAGGTACTAAAAATCTCTCTACACCATTTGTACCAAATTTCAGTAACTTGCATCCTTGTTATAGTTGGATTCCAACAAATATAGCACTTTATTCTGTAAATTTTTTTATAAATTGCTCAAGAAGTGTCACGTTATTTTTTATCATCAATAATACTTAACGGTTTCTTATCTAAATATAGTTTGTAGTAGGTAAATAAAATCTCTTGATATACAAAAGATGAAAACTGTATGCTTGTTACAATTGTCTCCAACGAACAAACTTGTACTACAAATCCTAACCTTTAGCAACTCAAAGAAGGGAACGTGGCAAAGTTAGTCAATTTTCACGGTTTCTGTCAATTTAGATTTTAAATAACTATACCTGTGGCTGTCATATTTAAATACTGATTTTAAATCTACATGTAACCCTCATAATTCAACATATTTA